CACATGTATTGTTTTGCTTAGTATTTTTGGCTATTTTTGTGCTGCAATGGCAAAATTTAATAGTTGCAATGGAGACCATATGGTCTACAAAGCCTCAAATGTTTACTATCTGGTGCTTTACAGAAAATGCATGGGAACTCCTGATCTATGAGAATTAAGACTATTTAATATTGTCAGAAGGAAAGATTAATAGACCAATGGAACAGAATAGAGAGCTAAGAAATATGCAGATTGTTTTGTATATGACATAGGAGGTATTACACATCAGTACAGAAAAGATGAACTCTGCAATAAAAAGGCCTTGAAAAACAGGCTATTAGTAAAAAACAATTTAAAATTAAGACAATATAAAATTAAATTATCATTTCATGTCATTACAAAAGTAAATTCTTGAATTTTTGTAAGATCTGAACATAAAAAAGTAAAACTTTAGATGAAAAGAAAGTAAAATATCAAAGAAATCAAGGTGATAAAGACTTTTTTTCAGTTTGTTTTACTTCAGTATTTATTTATTTATTTTTAATTGCATTTTAGGTTTTGGGGTAAATGTGCAGAACATGTAAGATAAGATTTTATAACATCTTATGGTTCATAGCACAAAACATAAAGGAAAAGTATGATCAACTAAACTGCTAAGAATAAGAAAAATCCCCTCTGGATAAAAAAAATCTTACACAATGCAATGTCAAGCTGTACCCTAAGAAGAGGTGATTAATAAATAGGTGAACATAACTGGTTAATATCCAGTATAATAATACATTAACATCCAGAACAGATAAGGAACTCACATATATCTATTAGAAGAAAAGATTAGCAACTCATTAGAAAAAAAAAAAAAACCACTACATTTTTTTTTCTTACTATCTGCTGCCTGTTGAAGAAAAGCTAAACTTATAAACAGAATTCTCAAAAGAGAAAATCCAAACTCCCTCAAAATATGTGAAATGATTATTCTCACAGGTAATTAAGGAAAAGCAAATGCAAACCACAATGAAATAGAATTTCATTTGCATGAGAATGATGGCAATATTTTTCATATTAAAACTGACATATTGTAAAAAGACATTTGTCAGAAACTTGTAAATAGTTATAGTTTGTTTCAATTAAGAAAGGACAAGCCAGTAAAATCGAATTGGTAAAATACAGAGTTAGGATTATCCCTATATGCCACAAAGCTGTTTCTTGGGTGTATCTTTTAGGTGACCAAACTGGGCTGTAGTTTCTTCTAAATCATCAAGTCAAGGAAATTTGTCATTCTTGGGATGACTCCTATCTTGAAACTATAGAAATGTGACTGTCATTAACACTTGTCAGACAAGTTTCATCTTAGTTGTTCTCTACATCTTACCCAGCCCATAAAAACCAAGCAACCAACACTGGATATAGCCCAGAAGTCAAAAGCTACATCAGAAGGTGCTAACTTTTATCATCACTATTACCAGCATCATCATCATTATCATTACCTTCATCATCATCACTGCCACCATTATACCTGATACTGCTACAACAATTAGAACATCATGTACAGGTAAAGGGGATTTCACTGGGGAAAGTAAGTCTGAAAAATTCAGCAACTTACCATTAAGTATGTTCTAGTTTTTTGTTAATTGATTGCTTTTTATAATTTAGTTTTTATTTCAGGACACTGTCAAGAAACACTCTGTTGTCTGTGGTCTAAAGGCCCTTTGAAGTCTCTGGGAAAGTTTCCAAAATAATTCAGCAAAATTTTGCTTACTGAGAAAAAATATAAATATATAATTGACCTGAAATCTTGAGGAAATGAGGCATAAGATTTCTTTTATAATCACTCATAAGAATGCTACCATTTTCATTCTCTAGTAATGTAACTGAAATCAAATTTTATAATATTAAAAGGTTTTCTTGGGAATAATAAAACTATGAATGCCATTATAGATTTTGGAATAATGTACTTTACATTATAGATTCTGAATTAGCAACTGGCAAACTGCAGGTTCTCCTCAAAACTTCATATATTTTCAAATGAGTTCCTATCTGTAGACTCTCTTTTTTCCAAAGTTCCAGGAGAAACTGAAGATAGAGGCCATTACCCATTTGATCATTATACTTCTTTGCTTCTTATGCACAATTTTCATCCTAATGATTTAAAGTTTTCTAAAGTTTCATTTTTCTAAAATTTGGAGAATTTTGCACCAGAATCATGCTTTAACACTTTTCACTATATGAGACAATTCAGGTGCATCTAATTCAAATAGTTTATAAATACAGTTCTAATAAATGAAAACTATATATTTTTTAATGCTTTGCTGTTTAACTCCTAAAGTAATGCCCAAAAGTGGCTAAAAGGAAATCTAACCTAGAAAGTGATACTTGGCATGGACTGTAAGGAAAGATTTATAATGAGACTTTTAAAATCGTAAGTAATGTACTTACCATCATTTTGATTAACATCATTATTGCAAGTTGATTAAGGCAAATGGTTATGCTAAAAATGGCAATGAGCTTTATTTATTTTTTTGCCCTGAGAAGGAATCAGGTTCAAGTGACTCTTGTGCCTCAGCCTCCCAAGTAGCTGGGACTACAGGTGCTTGCCACCACACCCAGCTAATTTTTGTGGTTTATGGTAGAGATGGGGTTTCACCATATTGGTCAGGCTGATCTCAAACTCCTGACTTCAAGTGATCTGCCTACCTCAGCTTCCCAAAGTGCTGGGATTACAGGCTCCAGGCAGCCAGCAATGAGCTCTTATTTGAAGTAGATTCATTCTAAAAGTGAGGCAATTATAGTTTAGTTAAGCACATGAAGTTGGTTAAATTCCTTGAAGATTAATTTTTAACCTATTTTCTTTGCTAAATGAAGGATTCATTTTGTAATGCAAATGCCTACCTTTGGAAAAAACTGTGGCCAAAAATTAATTTGGTAAATGAGAGTAAATTGTTTCATGAATGGACTTTTTTGATATTTAGAACATCATTTTAACAAGTGCAGCTATTATTCAAAAATAGTAATAAATTCCTAGAGGCTATGAATCACATTTAGAGGAAGCGTTGCATTACTCACAAAGTTACTGTAATCTTTTAAATATAAAATAATATTTTAAATTATTTTTGACAAGAGAAAGCCATGGGAGGGGGAAAATGTCATATCAGAGCTGTAGTTAATACTATGTATTTTTCAGAATTCTTCAGAGCATCCAAAAGGGGCTTATAGAGAAAAACGTCTTTTAAGCTATAAAGCAGTGTTTATTTTGAAACCATCTCAGAACTTAGAATAATTATGTAGTCTACATAATGTTTAGTCTCTTAGACTAATATGCATGTATCGAAAAGAGTAAGCTACCAGAGTGTTATAACTAACTAATCCAAAACAAATTTGAGAACTTACTGTCACAGTGCACTTTTATAGTCATTAAAAAAATGTTATCAAATATTAATAAAGTTACAAATACTGTATTAAAAACACTATGCCTGAATAGGCTTTTTTCTCTGAGGCTGATATTAAACAACAGAATTCTGTATGAAAACATACATGGAATATGTCTGAAATAAGGAGTTTCTTTGAAGAGCTTTCACAAATAATGTTGGTTCTGGGAAACACTAATTAACAAGTCATCAAGAGAGACAAAGAGGTATAAGGGAGCGATAGGATTAAGAATGCAGAAAAACTGAAGAGGAAATAAGATTGGGTGGAGTTGCACAGTTGTATAAGGTAATGCTAAAAACAAAAACAAAAACTTATCTGCCTAAAAGTCAATTGGTTCTGGATGGGATGAGAACAAAAATGTTCACATATTAATAGGGAATATGTAATTCACCAAATATGTTCCCTTATTACAAACGCTTCTGTTTTGGAAGGTTTATTTAGAAAGTTACAGACTAGAGATATTGAGGAAACAGCTGAGGATGTTTTGAATTTGAAAACATGAATGTTTATGTTACAGCCTTTCCTCCAATGGACAATTATATAACATCACCTCTCAAGATGTGAAAAATAACTAGGGTCCAAACTTTATGTAGATTAAGCTTAGTGTGGCCATACAATGTAACTGTAACTATAAACTGCTTATCTGTAGATGCTGAACCACCATATTTTCTAATTCTCTTTCATCTAATTGATTGACTTTGATAATAAAACTAACTTATCTGTTAATTTCTATTATGCAAATAATTTACATTTGTTGTAGAAACATTCTCGAAAATAGGCTCAGGGCAGTGGCTCAGGCTTGTAATCCCAGCACTTTGGGAGGCCGAGGTGAGCAGACTGCCTGAGCTCAGGAGTTAGAGACCAGCATGGGCAACATGGTGAGACCCCTGACTCTATTTAAAAAATACAAAAAAATAGCTGGGTGTGGCAGTACATGCCTGTGGTCCCAGATACTCAGGAGGCTGAGGTGGGAGGCTCACTTGAGCCCAGGGGGCAGAGGCTGCAGTGAGCTGAGAGTGTACTACTGTACTCCAGCCTGGGTGAGAGTGAGACCCTGTCTCAAAAAGAAGAAAAAGAAAAATTAGAAAATACAGTTAAAAGTAAATAAAAAACCTATAATTTTGTTACATAGCAATTACTACAGTTGACGTCATGGTACTTCTTTCCACATTTATCAAACTTTTAATTGAAACTTGTTATATTAGGTATTTAATTGTGTCTATTAAGTCTTTGTGTGTCCATGTGCATGATATGGCTATAGTTTACAAAAATGCAATCAGACTACAACTAATGTTTTGTAATCTGCTTTAATTTAAACAATAAAAACAACAAGTAAATTTCTTTTCAGCAACGTGAGGACAGAAATCAGGTCTATATTCCTCACTGATATATTTCCAGCAGCTAACCTGGGCTCAATAATAATTTGTTAAGTGAATGAGTCTCAGAGTCTGTCCTCTTTGAGGCATTTGAGATTTCTGTGTTTTCAACTAGCATGAAGGACTAATGTATAGATTGTAATTCATGCAGTGTGAATTGAAAGACAGGCAGGTAGATTTAGATTGTTATACGATTTGAACCATTTTTTTCCTCTTTCATAGGCACAGCATATCTTCCCAAAGATCTTGGCCACTATGGACTACAATCGTTATTTTTCTTGGAGTGGTGGCAATCTTGGGAGTAACTATTGGTCTTCTTGTTCATTTTCTGGCAGTTGGTCAGTATTGATTATTTTCAATTTTCATCCTTGCTATAAATCTTTTAGTTTTAAAAATCGACAAGAAACAACATGAATATTAAATTTCTTCTTGGGAGTTTTCATATTTACTTACTATTTTATTTCAATATAGCTTATTTTGACTCAGAAGTTTATAAGGTGTTTTGAAACAGAGGCCTCCTTATAAATTATATCACCAGCTATGATGGTATGAGCAAGACTGAAATATTCAATACATTGATATCAGTATTCATTGTCATTAAAGGAGCTTATAGTAGTCTTGTAGTTGAATTGTTATATCCTGTAGTAAATATATCTCAAACTTTAGAGATTCCTTCTCTTCTTGACTCAATTCTGCTATTGGTTATTAAGATATGATGAATAAGTAGCAATGAAAAATCTACAAATAACTCTTGATAGTAGATAGTCAAGCATGGTTGAATGGCTAAATGTTTGTACAAACATGGCTTTATTTTTAAAACTTTTATTAACAGTATACTCACAAAACTTAGTTTCCCATTTATTTTTACCTTTCTGAAAAGTAAGTCCTTAAACTTGTGTAATTAATGTTTTAAAATAAATTTGACATCCATTATTTCACTTTATCTTCACAACAGTCCTGTGAGCTAGAGATGAAAGGTTTTACTATCCTTATTTTCACATACAGTACACTGAGGCTCAGAAAAGTCAAGTGACTTGCTTGATAGCACAGCTTTTAAGTAGCATAGCTCACTTAAAAGCTTAATATTAATACACTTAATAGTTTCAGTAATTATACTACTTTATCATGATTTTTCTGAGTTTTATATCTCTGAAATATATAACCCTATACAATAATGCAATGTAGACAAATTTTGGATGACTTAGCAAAAATTCCACTGGTTCTTTCAACCTGGCTTCTTTTCCTTTGTTTCTCCTCAGTCCTCTTAAGGCTGGTCTTTCAGAAGAGTAGTAGGTGCTCCTTCTCCTGTCTGCCATATCTATCCATGAAATTTTCACAATCTGTGTCTTTCTTTTCCTCTACTCATTAAAAAATAACATTCTTCACATAATTTCCTTAAGGACAGTGCTCTGAGTTTTCAAAATCAAGCCCTTGTGAATCAATCAATTTTTTTTTTTTCAAAATACAGTTTGCATCTTAATAGGTCCCCTTTCTGGGAAAGCAATGCCTTAATGGAAAGGAGTGGTACCAAGGGGAACTACAGCACCCTGGCTGGAGCAGGAGGTGCATGAGACAAAAATTCACCCTTGAATGTCTCTACATGGTCAACCACCCACTATTTCAGATATAAGGCTAGAGCAGCTTAAATTACTTAAATTACTTGAACTGTACTACTTGTGGAATAAAAATGGATACAAACTCTATGGTAAAGGTTGTTTGAAGTCAGTTTGAAAGATGGGTTTGCTTTAGGACTCTGACTTAGGAACAAATATGATATTTGTTAATATTGAGAACAACTTAAGCTGTATAACAGCTATTGTAATCTCTCATTTGAGTGGTACGAAATTAGCCGGATGACAGGTATTATAATCCCTCATTTCAGTGGTATGAAATTAGTTTCTCTGTCTAAATACATCTATTATTTCTCAATCAACTTTTTAAAACTTTTGAGTTTCCACTTTTTAGGTTAATTCAGAGATAAGTATTTCATGAAGATCATTATTCTAGAAATGACTTTGGTTCATCTCTTTCTCAACTGTTTTACTTAACAGTGCTAGTTCCAAAAGCTTACATGCACATGTATAAACAATTTCATAATCCTGCATATACATTATCTAATAGTTCTAAACCCTAGCTTCTTCTCAGAATCACCTGTCGAGCTCTTTTGAAGTAGTATTCATTCCCTAGGCCTTACCCTTAGGTTAGCTGATTCAGTTGGACTGGGGCAGGACCTTCCCATGCATGTCTTTTGGAAGATTATGATGTATAGGTAGTGTTAAAATCTACTGGTATAAAGCAGTGTTTTAGAGAGGTAATAAAATATGTCTATCTTAAGAAAAAATATGTAATAAACTTTGAAATGCAGGGCAGTTTACTATATAAAGATTACTGTTGCTATGTCTGCAAAACTGAAAATCACTGACCACAGTATAGAATATACAATAGATTCCTATTCAGTTTATCTAAATAATTATATTAGCTCAAGCTACCCTAACAAAATCCACAGACTGGCTAGGTTAAACAATAGACATTCTTTTTTCACAATCTTGAAGACTGGATGTTTAAGACCAATGTGCTGGCTGGTTTCTGAAGAGACCTCTTTTCCTGGCTTGCAAATAGCTGAATTCTCACTGTGCCTTCCCGTGGCCTTTCCTCTGTTTGTATTTTGGGAGACAGAATGAAGTGATTGTGTGTGAGAGGGAGATCTGATGTCTCTTTCTCTTCTTGCAAAGACACTAGTCCTACTGGATTCGTGTCTCCCCTTATGACCTCATTTAACCATAATTCCCCCATTTAAGATCATGTCTCCAAACACAGTCACATTGGTGTTTAGGGATTCAACATGTGAATTTTGGAGGAGACACATTCCATCCATAACAATAATCAAGTATAAATTAATTTTAAAATGGCACCTTGAACTGATAAAATTCTTCAGTAAAAGTATAACTGGAATCAGAAATCTAAACATCATGGTTTCTCTGAATTTGTGCATGACTTTTGAGACTTCTGATAAGTTAATCTACCTACTTGTAAATATCCTGGTTCAGTATTGTGGATGTAACACAAAGTTAGCAGATTCTGATTCTAATTACATACTTTAGTTCATTTGGTGACACACTTCACAGATGAAAATGATAAAATAGTAGAAAGAAGAGGGTCTTGGAGTACTTAACCAAAACAGGATATGCTTTCATATTAGTTCCTTTTTTGTTTTTAAGATGGGTGCTTCACTCTGTCACCTAGGCTGCAGTGCAGTGGTGCAATCACAGCTCAATGTAGCCTTGAACTCCTGGGCTCAAGCAATTCTCCCACTTCAGCTTCCTCCGTGGCTGGGACTATCAGCACATGCCATCATGCCTAGCAAATTTTTAATATTTTTAGTAGAGACAGGGTCTCACTATTTCCCAGGCTGATCTTGAACTTCCAGACTCAAGCAATCTTCCTACCTCAACTTCAAAAAGTGCTGGGACTATAGGCATGATCCATCACATTTGGGTAGTTCCTATTTTTAAAAGGCTTGACGTGTTTTAAATTATGGTGACCTAATGTATCAGGTGAAGCAGTTTATATTTAAAGAAAGGGAAAGATAGGAATGTGAGACCCTGTGACTCACACCAAGCACTACCCATCATATACTGTAGGGAAATAAAAGGTCACCATGGAGTCCTCCAGAAATAACCTCAAGGAATAGAAACCATGCCAACAGGCAAAGGGCATGCAAAAGGGTACAAGACAGTGTATATCATCCAGAAAGTGAAGGGTGACTGATGCTTATATGTTTCCTGTATCAGACATGCTTAGAAAGATCAATTGAATAATTACTAGCCTGATTTTAGACTATACATATAAAAGTGTTTCATCTTTAGTGCATACTCGGGTGGATTGTTAGTGGTTACAGGCATTGCTGTTTTGAGGAGGGTACTGAGAATATATCTGGACTTAGCAGGAAAGTAATCTCTACTGTCACATAAAAGGTAAAGGGGGGATCATTGAGTGAATGATGCCAAGTTGCCATTTCTAGAATAAATGATTATTCATTCCCCTCCCTTTTTTTTTCTCTCTCCCTTAGATTATTTCTAAAGCTAGGTTGAATGTTGAAAGAGAGGTATAAATGGTTTTAAAGCCACATCCCTCCATTCCTTCATCACCTACACTAGGTATTTCTCCTAAGGTTATCCCTTCCCAACCTCCACAACCCCTACCTTCCCTTCCCTAGCCCCCCATACCCCAACAAACCACCATGGCATGTATATACCTATGTAACAATCCCTCAAGATCTGCACATATATCCCAGAACTTAAAGTAAAATAAAAAATATATATATATATGCTTGAAAAAAAAGCCACTTCCCACTTTAAAATTCTTTGACTTTGTTTAATTTCACAGACAAGATTTACTATTATCAAGGTGATTTTCATATTTCTGGAGTAACATACAATGATAATTGTGAAAATGCAGGTTCACAAGCCAGCACAAATCTAAGCAAAGATATTGAGACTAAGGTAAATCAGAGATTTCTTTTATTAATTTTATAGTAAATTTGATTGAAACATACATGGTGACTCTTTTTTTCTTTTTGTCAGATGTTAAATGCATTTCAAAATTCCAGCATATATGAGGAATATGTCAAATCTGAGGTCATTAAACTTCTGTAAGTACAAGTTTATTCAAGATTTTATGAAAGCAAAGTAGGTGATAGATCATACAACCTTGACTTTAGATAACAATAACAAAAAAAAATAAAGAAAAAGAGAAAGAAAGGAAAGGAAAGAAAGGAAGGAATAAAGGAAAAAAGAAAGAGAGAAAGAAAGAAAGAAAGAAAGAAAGAAAGAAAGAAAGAAAGAAAGAAAGAGAAAGAAAGAAAGAAAGAAGAAAGTAAGTTTTCTATAAATGAAAATATCACTGTATTTAGCAAATTTCTGTTCCGGGCAAGAGTTGTTACATACAAATCTTTAATCCTTATACTTGCAGAGAATTATAAGGTTATTGATGGTGGTTAGTCCTAACTGACTGCTATGATGAAAGATAATTATAACTCCATAGAAAACAAATAATTCAACTGGTTTGTTTTTAGGCCATACCTTCCCTAAAAACATCCTCTTTTAGTTTTCTTAATAATTATCATTCTTGCAATGGCTCTGGAAGAAAGACAATATTTTAAGATAACATTTGTCTAGATATACCTTTGAAGGGTGCCTGAAGATAGTGGTGGTAGGGCAGGATGCAGGGAGGAGGGTATGGTGTATGGGGAAAGAGTAATGAGGGTAGTGCTCGCATAGGCGGCACATATACTAAAGTTGGAACGATACAGAGAAGATTAGCATGGCCCCTGCGCAAGGATGACATGCAAATTCGTGAAGCATTCCATGTTTATAAAAAAAAGAAAAAAAAAAAGAGTAATGAGGGTAGAGCCCACTTGTAATTTGCTAATTGTTAATATCTATTCTGGGGAATTCTGAACTCTCAAAACAAAACAAACAAAAAAAATCCAGCTGACCTAACCAACCTACTTACCTACAGACAAACAAAAACCTTCAGAGACCCTGGAATTTATCATAATTATTTGAAAGTGAAATTATGGATAACTTAAAAAATTCTGATTGATATGGCTTTGGTTTGAAAGTCTCCTAAAATGAATTAACTTCTTTTCCTGATTAATAAAGAGAATGTACTGAATATATAATCAAGTTGTTCTTCATTTAGAATTATCTTTCTGAGCTTCCTCATTGTATAGATCTGTTGGGGCAGACTAGTTAAGTATGGAAAACCATAGGAAAAAGGTTAGCACTGGCTGCTAAATACTGGAAATTGTCTGGAAATTGTCTTTTGAATGCTTCCTGCCCTACCTTTACTTTCTAATTTCCCTTTCTCTAAAATGAAGTTATTAGAAAAATTCTGGACTGAGCACTGTGGCTCATGCCTGTAATCCCAGCACTTTGGAAGGCTGAGGCAAGCGGATCCCGAGGTCAGGAGATCGAGATCAGCCTGATCAACATGGTGAAACCCTGTCTCTATTAAAAATAAAAATAAAATTAGCTGGGAGTGGTGGCAGGTGCCTGTAATCCCAGCTACTTGGGAGGCTGAGGCAGGAGAATCAAACTCGAGGCGGAGGTTGCAGTGAGCAGAGATCATGGCATTGCACTTCATCCTGGTGACAGTGAGACTCTATCTCAAAAAAAAAGAAAAAAAAAATTCTGAATGAGAGCACTGGTTTTTATTGTATTATAGTAAGACTTCATGCTAATCATTTCTTGGGCAGTATTCCGTTTCCCATATGTGTTTGAAATATTCTGATTTTAGTTTGTGGTCCTTATTTTCTTCCTTGAATAGTATCTGTATATTTTTCTTTGATATATCTAAAGAAAATATAATAACTAAAATGTGTGAAATGTGTCCACAAAACATCTAAAAGATAAGAAATAGTACATTGGAAAATTTCTGTTGTTTCTAGGCCTAATGCTAATGGCTCAAATGTACAGTTACAGCTGAAATTCAAGTTTCTTCCAGCAAAGAGAGTTAGCATGAGAACTAAAATCAAGGCTATATTACACCAGATGTTGAAAGACAACATGGCATCCTGGAATGCAGTTCCTGCTTCCATTGAACTCATGGGTATTTGACTTATTTCCATTATTTTCTGTTACATAGTTTTTTTCTGGATTTTTTTAAGAAAATGTACTAAAAAGTGAACTAAGAGTATTAGTAATTTGGGGGAAAAATATCTGTACCTTACTCCGTCACTCCTACAAATGACTTAGTAGTGGAAGGGGCAGTGCTATGGAATCATTGTCTGAAGAATGATAGGAATGAGGGTTACATTGCAAGCATGGATGTAAATTTGGAAGCGTTTGCCTATTATGCATGGGAAAGAGGGTGAAAGGTTCTAATTCAAATATCTTTCCTTTCTACTCCGTACTTTTGTCAGAATCTCATGATAAGAAGTAGATTTAGGACTTTCTTGGTCTTTCAGTAAGGAGACTGCAGGAGTAGGAACAATGTTGGGGATGGGAGTTCTTACCAATTCTTGTGAGAAAACTGAAGTAATACACTTTAAAAGAAAGAAATTGTCTGGAGTAAATCCCTAGAAAACAAGGCAAAAAATGATAAGATTTTGCTTCCTTACAGAAGGTGAAGTTTGTAAAGATTGTGAAGGTTCTGCAAAGGCCTTGAAAAGGCCAGCTAGGTGATAAGCATGTAGTTTCAGAGTCCTGTTTCATGGTTCTTCTAGCCAGACAATTAATCCTAGTGTACTTGAGGGCTTGAAAGGTCATCTGCCAGTTACTGCTCCTTTACCACACAATAAAGACCCCATCACCAGTGGACAACTAATAAGAAGTGAACCTGAGGTAGAACTTTTCAAGATAGCAATAACGTTTTTCTGTGGGTAGCTTTTGGGAAAGAGGGATACATTGATTACTGTCTCTCTGTGTCCCATAGTGTATAGTCAACATTTTTTAGTGTTTCTTTAGTTCCCTCGTCTTCTCTTCTCTCTAAAGACTTTTACCAGTAGGAAAAACATTTAAATTTAAGTTCTCAAAATTTCATGATTCATTCTTAGTTAAGGAGATTACCCTAAAGGGCAGGATGGGCCCAATGAAGTGTAATTTTAATCGGGACATTTTCCTTAAAATATATGTAATTGTCAGCATTTCAGAGTAAAGAGAATTTTCACGGGAAAGAAATCCCTACCATGATCTCTTAAAAAATATTTGTAAGAGTGACAGCTTCTTAACAGCACTGAATATTTTACATCAATAATTGTAAAACTGGAAGCATTGTTTCTTATTCAATTTCTCTTTTTCTAAACTACCTAGTAGAGATATGGAGAGATGGTTATAATATACCAAATAAGAGTCAGAGAGGCTGAAAATACCTGAGCTACTCTGAATAGTTAAATGTTGGACAATATTGGGTTAGGAAAGCTAGCATTTATGTTTTTAGGTTGAAGTCAACTGCTTGGTGATACTTGATCAACTTTATGTTTTGTTTTGTTTTTCACTTTCAGAAATCAGCAAAGCTGCTTCTGAAATGCTCACCAACAGCTGTAAGTTAAGGATCCTTTTATTATAAATTTGATGGATTTACAGATATTTTCCTATCATTTTTCTATAAAACATATTTGAAATATATCATGTGAAAATCCATAGTACACTTTCAAAATTACTAGATATACCAGATATTGACTTGGAATTTCTTTTTGAAAAACACTTGTCTATTAATTTTGACATTTATTAAAAATTATACAAAAAGTTAAATGAAAATCGATTCCAAATAATAAAATTGTGGGTGAAAAATATCATATTTATGTATGTTAAAATGAGGAAGATTGGGCCGGGCGCGGTGGCTCATGCCTGTAATCCCAGCATTTTGGGAGGCTGAGGCGGGTGGATCACGAGGTCAAGACATTGATACCATCCTGGTCAACATGGTGAAACCCCGTCTCTACTAAAAATACAAAAACTTAGCTGGGCATGGTGGTGCGTGCCTGTAATCCCAGCTACTCAGGAGGCTGAGGCAGGAGAATTGCCTGAACCCAGGAGGCGGAGATTTCAGTGAGCCGAGATTGCGTCATTGCACTCCAGCCTGGATAACAAGAGCAAAACTCCACCTCAAAAAAAAAAATGAGGAAGATTGAAGGAAATGACAACTTAGGATAATAAGAAAACATAAAACCAGGCTCTATCAAATATATTTAAGATAAAAACATCTTAAAAATTATTATTATTTTTTGCTTTAGAGATGGGATGTTGCTATGTTGTATAGGCTAAAGTGAATTCATAGGTGCAACTGTAATGGACTACAGCCTGGAACTCTAGGGCTCAAGCAATCCTCCTGACTCAGCCTCCTAAGTAGTTGTGGGCCTATAGGAGCACATCACTGTCCAGTTACATCTTTTAAATAAATTCTCTTTAGAGTATCATGTTGTCCACAAAATAGATCCACGCATTCATTCACTCCATGGCTATTTATGGAGTATCGATCATGAACAGTGCATATAGTATGCAAAATGTCGACCTCAAAGTTTCTACCTTCAAGAATCTGCTTAGAGAGACAAGAGTTATAACACATAGACACAACAAAAGACAGTGGTTGAAAGATGCCTGAGACTGGAAAAGAGGATAAGTAAGAACCACTCAAACCAAGATAGAATAGAGAACCATTACACAATTATCTTGTAGAAAAGAAACATCATCAATTAGGAGATGTTGAATAATCACTGAAGAGTTTCAAGTAATTTGTAGTGATATATTTTTTTATAATGCATAATCAACTATACCTGCTCTTGTGTAAATAAATCCTTTCTCTAGGTTGTGGGAGGCAACTAGCCAACAGTATCATAACTGGCAACAAAATTGTGAATGGAAAAAATGCCCAGGTGGGGGCGTGGCCATGGCAGGCCAGCATGCAATGGAAAGGCCGTCACTACTGTGGAGCCTCTCTGATCAGCAGCAGGTGGCTGTTATCTGCAGCTCACTGCTTTGCTAAGTAAGTCTGAAAATTTGACTAAATGAAGGATGCTGGGTGCAAAACTATTCTGGATAGTTTGTAGGGGTTAACTTAATGTGTGAAGCTTCACCAAGGCCATATGAAATTTACAATCACATAGAACAATTACAATCACCTGTGTAATTAAAGGGCAGGAAAAGCATTTAAATTAGGGCAAGGAGAGAAAAGCCAATGGAAGTATTAATTAACATTTTCCAAATAGCTACCTTGGCCTGACGTTAGGTGATTTACTTACATCATTTCATTTAATCACAGCATTCAATTCTGCATGGAAAGTATAATTTAATCTATTTGAAGACGAGGAAACCAAGGCTCACTTAGGAAAGGTGACAAAACTTGACTAAGATCACCCAGCTCTTAAATAACAGAAATTGAATGTGAACTCAAGTATGTCTGACTCCAGTTACTAGGTGTTTCCTTGTCTTGCCACCTAGACATTTATAATCTATTTTTTAAAAATTTAATGTCATACATTAAAAGTTTGAGGCAGCATAGTGTCATAAACATGAGGTGTATTAGAAAGATAGTAAGTGCTATGGAAATTTGAAGAAGAAAGCCAGGACATCCATCGGATATAAAATTTAATCTGGACCCAAAAGTTGAGTATATTCAAAGGAAGGTAAATTGTTCTACCAAAAAGACACATGCATTTATATGTACAACACAGCTCTATTCACAATAGCAAAAACATGAAATCAACCTAGACGCCCAGCAACAGTGAACTGGATAAAAAAAATATGAGTCACATACACCACGGAATACTATATAGCCATAAAAAAGAATAAAATCATGGCCTTTGCAGGAACATGGATGCAGCTGCAGGCTATTATCCTAACTAAATGAATTAATGCTGGAACAGAAACCTAAATACTTCATGGTGTCACTTGTAAGTGGGAGCTAAACATTGAGTTCATATGGATACAAAGAGGGGAACAATAGACATTAGGGCCTACTTGAGGGTGGTAGAAGGGTAAGGGCCAAAAAGTAGCTATTGACACCAAGGGTATGTGGTAATAAGACTAATTCTGGACCCCATCCACTTACAGGATTGAGGATGCTCATATGATTTCTGACCAAATTAAATGTTCAGAAACTAGGTAGAACTGAATAAGCAGGGGAAAACATCAGTGACTCTACTTGAAAGGATTTTCAAAGAGCTGACAAATCTGAGTCCTTAGCATTATTTTTATCTGACTGCAAAATTTACAACAGCTCCATGTCAAAGATATTTTATAAAATAAGAATTTCAGTGGCTTATAGTGTTGTTTGGGAACCTCATGCCTTAAGATTGTGAGATAATCACCGCTAAGAACACTGTTGTGACCCAGAAACTGAATGTATTCTAATTACATTGTGTCTTCTAGGAGAAACAATTCAAAAGATTGGACTGTCAACTTTGGAACTGTAGTAAATAAACCATATATGACACGGAAAGTACAAAACATTATTTTTCATGAAAATTATAGCAGTCCTGGGCTTCATCATGATATTGCCCTCGTACAGCTTGCTGAAGAAGTTTCTTTTACAAAGTACATTCGTAGCATTTGTCTTCCTGAAGCCAAAATGAAGCTCTCACAAAATGACGATGTTGTAGTTACAGGGTGGGGAACACTTCATATGAATGGTAACTTTTTTTTAAATAAAATCATAATAGCTTCATGGGGATAATTATTTAATCAATCAATCAATTATCCCCTTATGCAATTAATTAATAAATATTCTGAAAAGAAAACCAAGTGGTGGGACAAAAAGCACAACATCAAATTGTCTTCACTTCCTAAAATATCTCTGGGAATGGGAATTGGAAAAATTGAAATTATGTGTTAGGTAGCCAACTATTACAAACACCTGAAAATAACTAATCTAACCTGCAACTGGCCTGACTCATGGTGACCAGGAGAGTCTGGGTTATACTGTAGACATCCTTTGTCCCAGCAAAGTCTAAGATCTCCATAATATGTAGCACTTACTATCTTTAGGTGCATTTCCAGTGATACTTCAAGAAGCCTTTTTGAAGATTATTGACAACAACATTTGCAATGCCCCATATGCATTGTCTGGCTCTGTGACCGATACAATGCTGTGTGCTGGATTTATGTCAGGAGCAGCTGATGCATGTCAGGTATATCTAGTTACATTATCCAATTGTTTTCTCCCAAACAGTTACTCAAATGGAAGTTTTAATCCACATAAAATATTGTTTGTGTTAATGGTATTGACATAGTAGCTTTTTATTTCAATACACTAAAAATGTATTAATCCCATTTATGTACCAGACACCAGCCTACATGCTAGGGATGCGGAGGTGAACACAATCCTGCCCTGATGAAGTTTTCAATCTGGGAATTCCTAAAAAGAATAATACTTAGAAGAAGTTTACCAGATGAATTTTGTCCTATTTTCTGGGCAACCAGCAGACTTAGAATGTGGTCTTCTCTGTATCCAGAGATGCATCAGGAGTCTGGGCATGTGTCTATGCCACTCATTCCTCAGAGGCTTCATCATTAGCTCAGTGCAAGCAGCTAAGTCATCTCCATATTCAGGCTGCACTCATAATATAAGTCAAACTCTAGTTTGCCCAAGTCGACATTTGGCAGTTTTAGGCCATATGTTCTGGTTTGTAACTGTCCTGTGTTTTTTTAAAAAAAATCCTATGGGTTTCAGAGTTCTCAGCTCAAAGAGAGTGAATTGGTTTCAGTGGCCAGGAGGTATTGGTAATGCCACAGGAAAGGTAAAAGGAAATTTTTTGTTAAGACAAGAAACATTTTTTCTTTTCTTCTTCTAGAATGATTCTGGTGGACCACTAACTTATCCTGATTCCAGAAATATCTGGCATCTTGTTGGAATAGTAAGCTGGGGTGATGGATGTGGGAAAAAGAATAAGCCAGGTGTCTATACTCGAGTGACTTCTTATCGCAATTGGATCACATCCAAGACTGGACTCTGAAAGAAAGTAATTATACAAAGGAACATAAAGACAACTGCAGGCTATCCTTATCTGTGGCTTTGGGATCTTTTGATTTTGATTGTTGGTAAACCAATCATTTTATATACAAAAATATAAATCTCTTTATTAATATTTTGTTATATCCATGACACTGTCCATGCATTTATTAATCTTTTAAATTAATGTAAAAGATAGGAAGAGGCTGGGTGCAGTGGCTCATGCCTGTAATCCTAGCACTTTGGGAGCCAAGGTGGGTGGATTGCTAGAGCCCAGGAGTTTGAGGCCAGTTTGGGAAACATGGCTAAATCTGTGTTTAAACAAATACAATAATTTACTAGGCATGATAGCATGCACCTGTAGTCCCAGCTATTCAAGAGATTGAGGTTGGGGAATTGCTTGAGCCCAGCAGATCGAGGCCTCAGTGATCTGTGACTGCACCACCACTGCACTCTAGTCTGGGAAACACAGTGAGATCCTGTTTCCAACAACAAACCAACCAACAAACAAACCAAAAACAGGGGAAGAAAAGAAAGAAGGCTAATATATAATTTTTTTTAACAACCGAGTTCTGATTCATTTTACCTTTATATTCAGAATTAACCTTAATTTGTTTTCCAGAATCAAAAGAAATAAAAAAATAAATTTGTTAGTATGAGAACATATATAGCAGATTTATCAGATGTGTTACTTTTCATTATGTCAATTATAATTTCATTTGTTAAACTGGAATATGTGAGCCAAACAATGTACATCCATTTTTTTAATTATGTGAAATAATTCATGTACCTCATAAAATCATGCAATCTTTCAGTGAAAAAGGAGTATCAGAGGTCCAGCTAGACTGAGTCTTTCAATTTATACATCAAGAAACTGAAGACCAGAGAAGAGAAATGATTTGCTTAAAGTCACTCTCCATTATGTATGATAAGTTGATAAATTTATCCTTACACAAATTTGTCCTCATTGAGTTTAGATCCAAAATGTATCATAAATTAAAGGATGACTTTTAAGTTGCAATTATTTATATAGCATTTTCTTCATATTCATTTTTTGTCATTTGTTTACTTTCTCTTGCAGCAAAAATAGCATGAGGTGATCAGTGGCAGAGAACTGTGTGGCATCTCCTTATAGTAAAAATGCAATCTTAGAGAGGGCTAACTTTGCAATCTCCACAAACAATTTACCTTTTGTAATTTTCTAAATGTAAAAGTCACCACAAATTTAATGGGCATTAAAATAAACTAAGAAAAAAAAAAAACTCATTTCTTCAGTTGTTTGTGGAGTTACTCTTCTTTCTTTACTCTAAATTATGGCTCAAATGACGTGCATATTGACATTAAGCAAATCCATAACCAGCTGTGACAAGATCGTGTCTTTCTCTCCTCACTTCTGCTTCAGACCAGGGACACATATTTACTGAGTCCCTAGTGTGTTTCAGGAACTGTCAGGTATAGATACAATGTCTTCCTTCAAGGATACCACATTCGGTGAATAAAAATAGTAGACACATACATAATTTTGGATTGTGATAAATGTTATAAAGGAAACAAAAAGTAATGTGATGGACACTGATGGAGCAGATACACTATTCTTTAGATTGGGAAGTCTGAATAACATCTCTGAGAGGGTAGCCATTTGAGCTGTACCTAAAGGATGAAAAGCCAAAACACAGAAAACATTTGAAAGAAAAGATATCCACAGGGAACAAATATAAGATCCAGAGAGAGAGAAAAGTGAGGTGGATATTTGGGTCAGAAAGAAGGCCAATGTGACGGAAGCCTAGTGGATAAATGAGTGATGGTAGGAGAGAAGATGGAAGAGGTAGCTGGGGGCCAAGTCAATTACTTCTTAGTAAGCCATGGTAAAGACCTTGGATTTTCATTCTAACTGCAATTGGAGGCCAAGGAGTTTTCCAAGAAGAGGGAGTGAGATAATTTAATACACACTTTGAAAAGGTTACTTAATTTTGATGAAGAGAATGGGCTAGAGTGGCAGTGAAGAGAGGTCAAAGGTATTACAGACTGTGCAATGATTTCCTTTTCTTATAGATAGTTAATTCAGAAGTCAGATGTTTACAAACGTTTAATTTATCTGCAACGTTGTGAGTTGAATCACAGTCTGTCTCTTGCTTCTTCCAGAGGGAAACAAATGGCATTGAATCAGTAATAACCCCAATGTGGAAGAAAGAGGAAAGTGATTGTAAGGAAAGGGTGGAAGGGAATTTGGAGGAGGTTGATTGGTAGAGAGAGAACATTTGTGAGACTAAGGGGTCTATGAGAAAGGAATGAAGAGTGAAGATTTCTCAAGACTGAGGCTCCCTGGTTGAATAAGGAGAGACATGATAGCATGAGTGGCCAATCTCCAGGCTTAGTGTGAAGGTAAGGAGCAGGTGGGGCAAGTTACATAAGGTAAAGCAGTTATTATCCAGACAAAGGTGGATTCTTTATGGGCTGCAATAGCCTTCAGCCTTTACTTCAGTCTTAAGAACTTAGAATCTTCACATTCATATGGACGCTATGTGTGATGGATCAGCTAAAAGTCATGCTTTTTTCTTTTTTTTTGGTAATAATAGGCTGCACCATCCTGGCCTTCTGATGTAAACAGCATGTTGAAAAGTTCACACAAGCAAAGAATTAGAGGTCTGCCTTGAGAAATGAAACCAACAACACTAATCACAAAGCATGAAAATTAAAATGCTAAACTGACAAAAGTATCATTATTTAAATTACAAAACTAGTCACCATTTTATTAAAAAGTAAAATATTTTCTTAAATAAAGTGCTTTTACTACCAATAAGTGGTATGGAAAAGAAACCAGAAATAAGTGATTAAGGAGACATTTTATAACCCCCATCCCCTAACTAAGAAGGACAAAACAAAATAAAACAAAAAACAACTAAGTCTAATTTAATTTTTTCTCTCTCTTTTTTCAACCAGGGGAAGTTGAAGTCCCTTTTGAAGGAGTCCATTGAGCAAGAATTTGACAAAGGGCATAACCATCACTGGCTAGCAGGACTACAACTATTAATAAATGTCCATGTATTCTTGAGAAACATAAAAAATTATGTGTTTGAAATATGAAAGTGCTTATGATATAAGATATGGACATAGTCTTGTGAACTATGAAGCATAAACCAAGATCTTTTTGTGAATGTACTGCTAATTAAAATAGCACATTTTTTTAAATATTGAAAAAAAATTAATGCCATATGATAGCACAAAGTTGACAAGGTTGTTCCCTCTTTCTTGTGAAGCCTCCAATTAACCAAATAGTTTGGCTTTAATAAGGAATTTTTGAAAGTGACTTTCTTGTTCAAGCATTGTGTCTACTATAGAAACATCTCCAACTTATCAGTGGATGAGAACTATCTTTTTTAGCTCATAAGGCAGTATTTTGTTGTGCAATACAGACTTTTATATTAATGCATTCAAGGTATGCTTTCACTGAAAAATGAATCAGAAGAGACGAAGTGATAGAAGTATCTAAAATGTTTTAAAGTTTATTTTTTTTAATTTGGTCTTTTTTTTTTGCCAATCAGTTTGAGCTTATGAGGTTGCTCAGGTTAGCCTTGAACTGATGACCTCGCCTTTGCGAGCGCCATGACCTCCGGCGGGAGCCACTGTCTTATATATCAGTCTAATAGAAGCTCTTTTCCATTGACTGGAATTTTTGTTTTTATTTTTTGGCATACCCACCAACATCTTCCTGTTTTCTTCATTAAGCTTGTCATTTGCCATTTCTCATGACTTAAACACTGTGATCAGTCATGACATCTATACTCACTGCCCCTGCCCCATCTCTCCACTCACTATCTAGCCTGGCAAAACAAAAAACATGGCTCAATCCAACTCTTTGATATTTAAGTGCATGTAACATAGCTGTTGACTGTAGCTGGAGAAAAACACTCATCATGCTGGCTAGTCTTTAAAATCACAGACATAAACATCAGCTAGATCTTAGTGCTCTCTGAAAATCCCCTTGCATATCCTTAGCCAAAACTCCCTCTTACTCTCCTAAATAATTCATTCACTTCTCTCCTGCCCTTAACTCCAACACTGTCATTTTCTTCTCCTTACACTCACCTGATGATCATGCTCATTATTTCACCAAGAAAACAAGAGGAACCAGATGAAAGTTTCTACTGGTACTTATCATAAAAATCTACAAATCTACTTGCTTCTCAAAGGACAGTATAAGCAACTGAACTTAAGTTAAACAGCCTTTGGGCAAACTGGCTTTGCCATGTACAAGATGTGTGATTTTGGGCAAAGGATTTGAAATCACTGTGTCTCAGTTTCTTTTATTTGATATGGGGATAAGAATGATATCTTCTTCACGGTGTTGTTTTGTAGTATTCAGGGAGTTAACAAAAGTAATGTACTTAGAACACATAGCAAATGCAAGATAGATGTTAGTTATTACTGTTGTCTATCCTCCTTTTTGTTACAATGGATTAACTGTTTGTATACCACTCTAAGGCCAAACTCTCCCCTTGTGCTAAGAACCCATCTGTACTCACCTTCTCAAAGATTTTATTTCTATGTTGCCCATCCTTGTTTATGTCATTAATTTTACCCTCTATACTGGATCACTTCCATAGACACAGTAACTTCTGCAATATCTTCCAGATAAAAACATACTTATTTTTTAACCCTACATCTTCTCCTATATTGCTTTGTGAAACTTGTTAAAAGTGTTGCCTTTACTTCCTTTCCATTCATTGTCTTTCAAACTCACTCCAAATATTGATTCAGACGTTCCACCAAATCTGCATTAGTCATGGTCACCAATGAATTTCATGTTACAACTCCAATGCTCAATTAGCAATTCTTCCCTTAATATGTCAATAATAGTTAGCATTGTTGATCATTTTTTATGGAAGCACTTTCTTCACCTGGCTTCCAGGAAAAAAAAAACATCTTTTATAGCAATTTTTCTATGTCATTAGCAATCTTCTCAGTCTCTTCTCTGGATCTTCCACATCTTCCTCAACTTTAGATGTTGAAGTGTCCCAGAGCTCAGGCTTATATCTCTCCTCTTCTCTACTTGCACTCATACCCTAAGTGATCCTATCCAGTTCAAGGGTTTTTTTTTTTAAGATGAAATTTTGCTCTTGTCACCCAGGCAGGAGGACAATGGCACGATCTCAGTTCACTGCAACCTCCACCTCCTGGGTTCAAGTGATTCTCGTGCTTCAGCGTCCCCAGTAGTTGGGATTACAGGCACCTGCCCCCACACCAGCTAATTTTTTGTACTTTTCGTAGAGATGGGGTTTCACCATGTTGGCCAGGCTAGTCTCAAACTCCTGATCTCAGGTAATCCACCCACCTCGGCCTCCTAAACTGTTGGGATTACAGGCATGAGCCACCATGCTCACCAGTTCAATGTCTTTCAATACCAATTCTATGCCTCCAACTTCCAAGTTTGTTAACTGTAGCTTTAGAAGTCACTGTTTTTCCATCTCCCCGAACCTCCAGTGTCATATATCTAAAATTTCCACTTGAAAATCTAATAGGTAGTTTTTATTAGTGTGTCAAAATAGTATTGTTCATCTTTTCTCAGTCTTCTACATTTCAAAAGCAGGGACCTGGAATCATCCTGGGTAACATATCCTTAAAATATTATTTTTTGCAGACTTACAATTTATAGTGATTACAGGATTCCAAAATAACCCAATTATATTAGCATATGTTGTTGTCCTGCATAATTATTATGCTTAATTGTGAAAATTACATAATTATACCTTATTTTAAAAAATTATTTCACTTTATTTTTTGAGACGGTCTTTCACTCTTTTTGTCCAGGCTGGAGTGCAATGGCGCAATCTCAGCTCACTGCAACCTCCGCCTCCTGTGTTCAACTGATTCTCCTGCCTCAACCTCCCAAGTAGCTGGGATTAGAGGCAGGCACCACCATGCCTGGCTAATTTTGTATTTTTAGTAGAGACGGGGTTTCACCATGTTGGCCAGGCTGGTCTCGAATTCCTGACCTCAGGTGATCTGCCTGCCTTGGCCTCCCAAAGTGCTGGGATTACAGGTGTGAGCCATTGCGCTCGGCCAATATATTATACTTTCTTATGTTGTTACCTTAAAAATGATCTTCACTTAAAATTTGTCACAATAGACACTCATGGCTGAGTAAACAAAACTTTATTTTCACTAAATACAGGAATGCATGTTATACAAGAATCCATAAAACAACCACCTCAAGTTTTTTAAATTTAGATTTATGCTCTTAAAGTCAGATTTATCTCATCTGCTAAAGACAACA